AGCTACATTACTAATTTTTTTTTTTTTTGAGTTGAAGTCTCTGTTGCCCAGGCTGGAGTGTAGTGGCTCACTCTCGGCCACCCCAGCATTGACCTGTTGGCCTCAGGCATACATTACTATTTTTAAAATCATGCTTCTCCACTTGCTGTTTAATTGAAATACCTGAGGGACTCCTAACTTCTGAGCAGCCTCAGCCTCTTTCTCTGTAGGATAATGCCAACACATGGGCTATATCTGTGCCTTTGAGGGATCAGAGTGTTTCAATTCAGTCCTCAGCGTGAGTTATCTTGGGCCCTTCTTAGAATTTTAGAATAGGAAGGTTGTGTAATTGCCTCCTGTTCTACAGATGATGATGCTGAGACTCAAGACTATCATTCCTTCACGCTTGCTCCAGGCAGTTCACACAGCTGCTTTTTCTTACTAGGAAGGAAGGCAGAGGCACAAGCACAAACATGCAAGTGTCATGAGTGTCACAGTAACTGATGGGTAGTTTTAGATAACCCTGTTATTAACAGTGCATCCAGCTATAAAGGGATTTGGTAACAATCAACAGCAACTTAAAAGTGATTTCCTACATTATTAATAGGATCAGTCCATGCTGTCAACTTGTTCACCAGAATCTTCTGAGGACATAACAGATGAATTTTTAACACCAGACCATGAATATTTTTGCTCCTTGGCTGCTCAAGAAAACTTAGCTCTAGAGGTAAAAAACTCACAGTTCAGGGTAAAGTGCATTTTCAGCTTTCTCCATTGTCTTATTTCTTGTCATCATTTTTATTGAGAAAAGTAGCTTACAATAGTTTACCAGTTTTTTATTTTTTAGTTTTTTGATTTGGAGTCTCACTCTGTTGCCCCAGCTGGAGTGTAGTGGCAAACTCACAGCCACCCCAGCATTAACCTGCTGGGCTTCAGTGATCCTTCCACTTCAGCCTTCCAAACAGCCAGAACTACAGGAGTGTGCTACCACACCCAACTATTTTTTTTTTTAATTGTAGAGACGAGGTCCCACCAAGTTGCCTGGGCTGGTTTCAAACCTGCGGGCTCAGGCAATCTACTTGCCTCAGCCTCCCAAAGTGCTGGGATTACAGACTAAGCCACTAAGACGGGCGTTTAACAGTTTTTAAAAATTTTATTTTAGATTCATAAGGTACATGTACAGGTTTTTAACATGGGTATATTGCATGATAGTGAGGTATGGGTTACCATGTTTTTATATGTGCTTTTTTGGTGTCAGGAGTGCAACGTAACCCATGTGTTAATATATGTTGTGAAAAAAATCTGAAAAATAAGATTTTTGAGGATAGATGGTCATGTGCAGTTGTAGTTGTTCCCAAAATTGTGGTTCCTGCATTTGTACAGCACTTTGTACTTATTTATTTATTTATTTATTTTGAGTTGGAGTCTCACTCTGTCACCCAGACTGGAGTGCAGTGGCCGCTCCCAGCCACCGTAGCCTCGACCTGCTGGGCTCCGGCAATCCTTCCGCCTCAGCCTTCCAAGTAGCTGGAACTCCAGGAGCGCACTACCACGCCCAGCTAATTTTTGATTTATTGTAGAGATGAGGTCTCACCAAGTTACCCAGGCGGGTCTCGAACTTGCAGGCTCAGGCAATCCACTCACCTCGGCCTCCCAAAGCGCTGGGATTACCGACTGAGCCACCAAGCCCGGGCACTCTGTTTTTTTTTAAAAAACAGTTTTATTTATGCTTCCTAATTCACATATTCTTCCTGTGGGGAAGAGAAGAAGACTATTATTTTTTTCTATGAAGAACTGTTGATCCACAGATGTAAGGAATTACCCCCAGCCTGCCAAGCTTTAATAATGGGAGAGTCAGGATTGATACAAGGGTTCAGCAACAAATACAAGACTTCCAGTATACCAGGTTGTCTTGGGAATCTGGCTTTTGCAAGAATCTACTGGTACAGAGTATTTCCACTTGTAAAATTGAATATATTGGTATTATATACATATTATTATTATAATATATTTTCTACCATAACAGCCCCCCTAACATGCCACCCTTTTGGGATCTTTTATTAATATGAAAGAGTGGAGTGGAGGAAAGAGAGAATTGTACATGTCAATCACAGCATTTGACTGATGAGAAGAATTCCAGAATGCATCAGAAGGATAATTTGCACTTGTCTGTACTTCTGAAAACACAATCAGAGCCATTTTCCATTATTAACAATCCTTTACATATTCTTTATTTTACTGTGAGCACACATTAGGAAATACTTTTTAAAAGATTTAAAAAATATATACACATATACATACATATGTATAAAATATAGAGAAAAGTGCACAGATCTTAAGTGTACACTTCATGAACATCACAGACTGAATACACTACCCAGCACCCAGATCAAGAAATGAAGCTGGGCCCAGTGGCATGTGCCTGTAATCACAGCTACTCAGGAGGCTAAGCTGGGACAATTACTTGAGCCCAAAGACCAGTCTGGTTAGCATAGTGAGATCCTGTCTCAAAAAAAGAGGAATGAAACTTTACCAGTACCCCAAAAGACCCCTTGTGCTCCCTTCCAGTCATTTCCTCCCCCCAAAAGGAACCATTGTTTTGACTTCTCATCTCGTAGAGTAGTTTTGCAGACTGGACCTTTTTTTTTTTTTTTTAACCTTCTTTGGCTCTTTTGATAACGCTCCCAAGAACCAAAACATTTTTGTTGGAAAATTGAATGAATAGGGGATATAAAGAGGGAAAAGATCACATAATTCCTCCTCATCATGGAAGGTTGAGGGAGGATTCATTGAGGGGGATATATGGTATGAATAAGCACTTAATGTCTGTGAAACAAGTTTATTCTTTTTTTTTTTTTTTTTTTTTTTGAGTTGGAGTCTCACTCTGTCGCCCAGGCTAGAGTGCAGTGGCACACTCACAGCTACTGCAACCTTGACCTGCTGGGCTCAGGTGATCCTTCTGCCTCAGCCTTCCAAGTATCTGGAACTATAGGCGTGCGCTATCATGCCTGGCTAAATTTTTTTTTCTTCGTGTAGAGACGAGGTCTCGCCAAGTCGCCCAGGATGGTCTCGAACTCCTGGGCTCAGGCAGTCTTCTCACCTCGGCCTCCCAAAGTGCTTGGATTACAGGCTTGAGCCACCAAGCCCGGTGCAAGTTAGTTCTTTTTCTAAGAAAGATGATGGGACCTTATGGAGATTTTCCAGGTTTAAGAGCATCAAGAAATTATCTTCTGACCCTTTGATGATAGTCCTGCCTTCAGTGAAGCTCTTTTCTTTGCTTTTCTAGACCTCAAGTCCCATAGAAGAGGACTTTGAAGGAAAAGAAGGTGTGTTTCCCCAACTTCAAGCCTCTGGTAATAATTCCTTAGGGCCGATTCCTTTTAGCATCACTTGACTTCACTTTCTGTTGGATCGCAGATATTTAGAGCTGGAATGGTCCTTAAAAACAACCTCATCCAGACTTTCTATTTTATAGTTGAGAAAACTGAGGTTCCGTGATTTTCCCTCAGTAGAATGAATCCCATGCTCCTCACCAGCCTCATGACATCCACACATTGTGTTATTTATACTTCCCTTTGCATTTTTATAGCATACATCTTAGTAGCGGTTTCTCCCCAACCCCCCAGTCTCTTACTAGATTTCTGCTTCCATGGTGGCACATAACTGGTGCACAGTTACCTTTGCTGAGTTGACCTGGGGAATCTGCCCAAGTCACACAGCTAGTTGTTGATACAACAAAACTAGAACTAGGTTTCCATGTCTTTCTCCAACCCAGAAGGCAGAGTCACTAGCATTTTCCTTTGCTTGCTTAGCATCTTAGCAAAGAGTTAATAATAGCCAACAGTACCAGTTCAACTTAGCATATATCCCTTGGGAGGTTTTGTGTTCTATATAACTTAGCAGGATCTTTCTATTACATGAGAAATTAACCTTGGCTTAGCAGCCAGGGATGTGACACCAGATAAGATATAAGTGAACTGTGATTCTGTTAAAGCCATTTTTTAAATTGTGTACTTTTGCCAGGCATGGGGGCTCATGCCTGTAATCCCAGCACTTTGGGAGGCTGAAGTGAGAGGATTACCTGAGCCCAGGGGTTTGAGACCAGCCTAGGCAACTTAGCAAGACCTCATCTCTACAATAAATAAAAAAAAAATTAGATGGGTGTGGTGGCGCACTCCTGTGGTTCCAGCTACTTGGAAGGCTGAGGCAGAAGGATCACCTGAGCCCAGCAGGTCAATGCTGTCGTGGCCATGAGCATGCCACTGCACTCCAGCCTGGGTGACAGAGTGAGACTCCATCTCAAAAAAAAAAAGAAAAAGAAAAAGAAATTATGTATTTTTGCCCTTCTATGCTCTCATCTATCCTAAACTATTTTAAAACTACAGTTATCCATCTACCAACTTATGCAGCTGTCTGTGGTCATGTTTCAACCCCTCCTTCCTCCCACTGTACACTCTGGCTTCCAACTCTAACCTGGTTTAGGTACCTGCCAGATTTGGGAGCCTTTTAAGAAACTGTAAGTTTTTATTATTTTATTTTTTAAAATTAAAAAAAAATTTTTTTTGAGTTAGAGTCTCACTCTGTCACCTAGGCTAAAGTGCAGTGGTGCACTCATGGCCACCGCAACCTTGACCTGCTGGACTCAGCCTTCCAAATAGCTGGGCTCAGCGCTCCACTAGCTGGAACCACATGCCTGGCTAATTTTTTGATTTATTGTAGAGACAAGGTCTCTCCAAGTTGCCAGGCTGGTCTCAAACCCCTGGGCTCAGGCGGTCCTCTTATCTTCGCCTCCCAAAGTGTTGAGATTACAGGCATAAGCCACCACTCCCAGCTAGAAATTGTGAACTTTTAGATGAACAGTTAATATCTCAGGGTAATACATATTAAAAATCCCCAGAGTCTTCGCCACCCAGCTTTTCTGCCTGTGATAACATTTTATGGGTCTGGCCATTTTACTTGTATTTGGAGAAGGGCTGAGTGGAATAGAGAAATTGTAGGGAAGACAGGTCAGATAACCAGGACCAATTTGATATAAACACCTGAAATATGTGAAAAAGCCTTTGATTTCTACTCCATTCCCTTCTTTCTCTGCTATCTTTCCCATTTAGGGCCCATGTCCACACCAGGGGACACTGCAGGGGTACAGCATGATATGCTGGGTTCCAACCCCTGTTCTGCCACTGTTTTTTTTTCCGCTATAACCTTGAGCAAGTCATTTCTCCCCAGGGCCCCAGTCTTTTCTTCTATAAAGGAGCAGATCAGACCCCCAAATCTCTAAGTTCCCCTTCAGCTCTAAATTGTGCTAATAAGGAATTAATTTATGCTTTCTGGGTGTTTATAATTTTAAGATGGTCACAGAAAGAGGAACTCCAATGTCTCTCCACTGGCGGATTTCAGAGCTCCTTGGTACCTGCTAAAGGTGGCATTGTTCTTTCTAGTGCCTACCAGAGTCATTGTTCTTTCTAGTGCCTACCAGAGTTATGTTTCCATGGCATTTGGAAACAGGGCAGGCTGCTTCATCTGCCCCCTTCTTTATAAACTAGGACAGCACAATGGTAGGAAGGAAAATGGATAATGGCCCTGTCTGCCTAGGGGTCTGCAAAGCATCTTGCTGAGAATTGGGGAGGAGTAATTTCAGACACTTGATGCCAAGAAGAACTGAAGACAGTTGAATTAGCTCCTCAGTACTCAAGACCCCACCCCGCCTCCACTTTTTAGGTGGTGCTTGATGGCCAACAATCACAGCACTCTGGGAATGCCTAGCTAACGGTCTTTGTTTGAAATCTTTAGTGAACAAACAGTTCTTGGTTTCAACGCCCCCTGCTGTCTGTTAACAGGAATTGGGTCAGTTCGCCTTCCTGAAAAGACAAAACAACATTTGTCTCCAGAAATAACTGTGTGGTTATAACTGAAAGGCCAGTAAATGGCTTGATTGTATTCTGAGTGTCAGAATATAGTTCTCGCCTCTGACCAAGAAAAATAAACTTTCATAGCAAAAACCTCTTCTATAGCACTCAATCCAAACCCAATTAGATAAGCACTTTGTTTATCCAGATTATTTCTCATTTTGGGCCAGACCAAGGGAAATTCTAGGGAATGAAAATAATCATCTGGTTGGCAAAAAATTCAGAAAAAATACACTTACTTTATTCTTTCAGGTGAGGGAAAGTTCCAAATGAGAAAAATTATTGGAAAGAATGCTGAGATTTTGACCTGGTCTCAATTTCAACCTACAGGAAGGTAGTACTGCCTGTTATTATCTTTTTCACAATTTCAGACTCATAGAAGCAATGCTAAATGGCGATAATGCCCATATTTATATATTGCTTGTATTCAAATATATTGGCCACTCTTTCTTTAATCTTTTTCTCTATTGTCTAATCCACATAAAAACCCTCTCCATCTTGCCAGTACTTATAATACTGTCATCTCCATCTTGCCAATAAGGAAAGCAGAATTCAGAGAGTTTAAGTATTTTTTCTAAGTTCACACAGCTAGCCTGGCTAAACTAGATTGTGTTACATGGCAAACAACCCTTAAATTTTAGTGGCTTAAAACTACAAAAGTTTGTTTTTTGCTCGTGCTTCATGTCCATGGCTCATGGGTTGGTTTAGGGTGTTCTGTGCTATATTACGTTTTATCAGACACTCGGACTGAGGGAGGCTCCATCTTCATGCTTTTTTTATTGCTAAGGCAGGAAAAATGGGACATGGTAAATTATGTACTAGTTGTTAAAGTTTCTGCCCAGAAACTTTGTCATCACTTTCCTTCATATTTTGCTGATTAAAACAAGTCCTCTGGCCATTTATGTAAATTAAGAGAACCCAAAAGTGCTGTTCTACTATATGCTTGGAAGGAGAAGCAAACATTTTTGTGAACAGAATTAATAAGGTCTCAATTCAACCCCAAATCCATGCTCTTTTGTGTATATCATTGGTCTCACAGGATTTTTGCAAGGATCAAACGTGAAAACATGGAAGGATCTAGCATGGCATCTGGTTTATAATTGGTGCTTAATGAGTATTGAAATTTAATCTTAAATATTGCTTAAAGTAGAAATGGGTGTCATTGCCTTGCTAGAATCTGTGGCTATGTGCTCTTTGAGCTATGGCTGTTGCCATGCTTCAGGTGAATCTTCTCTCCCCCTTCTCTTTCTTGCTTTAATTTATTTTTAAATAAACTATATTTTTTAATCTAAAAAAAATAAAGTAGAAATGGGTCAAGTATGCCTTCAGTATTTCCTTCTAGGCCTTTTTTTTTTTGGTAGACACTTCTCTTGGGCTCTCCTGATACTCTATACCAGGAAGCCATCTCACATTTGGTAAGTCCTTGTGGCCGTGTCCTCTTTGCTACCACATCCACCTCCCAGCAAAGTTCCTGTGTTCTGTTGATTTTCTCAGGAACTTGCTCACTGTCACATAGAATCATTGACTGATTTCAGAGTTGGGCTGACCCCTAGAAAGAAAATTGACATGACCAGACATGTCAGATAACATGCAGTTAATTAGTAGCAGAGCCAGAACCCACACTTTGTAGTTCTGAGCTTAGTGCCCTTTCTGCTGCTTCTCACACTGGGCTCTAAACTGGTCCTTTGTATCAAGTTAGTGTACTTTGCTGACAGAGGGAATCATACACTTTTCTTACTTTCTCACAGTACTAAAGGTGAACATGAAGAAACATTAAAGGAGACACCAAAGGAGCTGAAAGAAAAAGACATGTATGGTCACCAGAGTTGCTTAAGAATGCATGTGTAAAGTCTTGGTTTAAGGGAATAGTATTTTCTTGTTTGTAAGAATCTACATCCTTTCCATTTTTATGTATAGACTTAATGTGAGTGTGTTTCTTCTTTCATTGAAAAACTGTTATTAAATCAGTGATGTAATTTATAATTCATAGCATCTTACAATCAAGGAAATATAGTGATAATAATTAAGTTTATACTTAAGAGATATATTAAATCTGTTTTCCACAGAAATATCCTTTAATCTATGGAAATAGTCTATTTTTAAATGCTGAGATATGTTTAAAGTTATAATCTCTTTTTAAGATATTCTCTAATATTATCTTTAAGATTTATAGATATTCTAAAATATCCTTTAATTCTGCCTTATTACCTAATAAAGATTTTGTCAGGAGTATACTTAAAAAATACCTCTCAGAAATACATTGTTTGATTTTTCTAACCAGCATCTCAGAGTTACTATATGCTCTTATCTTAATTCTTTAGATCATTGACAGATATTCAAGACCTGTCTAGTATCTCTTTTGAACAAGACAGCTCTTTTAAGGAAGCCTCATGCAAAACACCCAAAATAAACCATGCACCTACTAGTGTCAGCACCCCACTCAGCCCAGGTAATCACTTAGAGGGAGAAGAAGCATTTTGGCAGAGGAGCTTACAGCCTCTGCCCACTGTCTCTGGGAAACCAGGCCTGGGATCAATTCTGGTAGTTGTTTTCTCACAGTGCAAAAGTATTTCCTCAGAGCAAAAACTGAAGGGGATAATCCTATGGAAGACCAGGTAAAGGAAGAGGAGGTGGTGGTGGTGGTAATTTGACAGCTCTTAGAAGGTTTTGGTCAGCACTGCAGTGATAGAGATGTGCAAATGCAAAGTCTACTCTGCAGTATAAGCACTACTGAATTTAGTGCAAAAACACTGAGTTTTCTGGAATCTGCAACTTAGAACAATGTTTAAACATATATAGTTCTTGAGTCCTGCAACCAGTGTCACATACCCTCTCTTTAGTATCCTTATTACTTCCAGTATATTTGTGGTTTTCAAAAAACTCTCTTTATTTTAATTTGATGACCAAGTTTAGAAACTGTGTTTTTTTTGGGGGGAGGAGGTGAGAAATCAGAGTCTCACCCTGTCACCCAGGCTGGAATGCAGTGGCATGATTACGACTCACCACAACCTTGACCTCCTGGGCTTAGGTGCTACTTTCACCTCAGCCTCATAAGTAGCTCGGACTACAGGCTTGTGCCACCACACCCAGCTAATTTTTTATTTTTTGTTAGAGAGGAGGTCTCGCTATATTGTCTAGGCTGGTCTTGAACTCCTGGGCTCAAGCAGTCGTCCTGCTGCAGCTTCCCAAAGTGCTGGGATTACAGACATGAGCCACCACACCTGGCTGGGACTGCCTTTTTTTTCTTTCTTTTTTTTTTACCTTATGGTGCTTTGCCTCAGATCATGATTATTTCAATTATTAACAATTTGGAAAATCCCAGATATAGTCATAGAGTTTTATAGTATTTGGGTGTTTTTTAAAAAGCAATGTAAGGGATTCATTCCTGCACATTATACTGGATCAGAAAAAAAGGGGGAAGATATAAATAATGGAAGGGATTCAGACACTAACTGCCCCATATTCCACAACAGGGTCAATTTCTTCAGCTGCCAGTAGCTACAAAGACTGCCTTGAAAGTGTCACATTTCAGGTTAAAACAGAGTCTACTTCTTGCTGGAACACTCAAGAATCTATTCAATCTTTGTCCAATAAATTTACAACTGTCCGAGAGATAGCAAAGAGCCTGGATTCTCTCTTTACTTCCTCTGAAAATCCTCCTTTAAGACAGACTGATCTTGTAAGTATACCAGTTCTATATTACATACTCATGGAGCCAGCCAAAGGGCTCAGTGACCCAAAGTGCCAAGATTTCTTCAAATCCATTAAGAAAGCAAGAAATAAGCTGGGTTTTCTTTAGGTTTCCCTGAGGCTCCTCTCCAGAATCTGTATTATAGGAGGCTAAAGTTTTGCTTCCTCCTTAAAGCCTTCCCCTGGTTATTTCACTGATGGTTTTGACTGATTTCCACCTTCTCTGAACTCCTGAACTAATAGCCTGTAGGAAAAACACTTAGCTGCATACTACCTTCTCCTCCTCTACCTCTTCCTCTTTTTTTTCTTTTTCTCTCCCTCCCTCCCTCCCTCCTTCCCCCCTTCCCTCTCTTCCTCCCTCATATTTCATATGTAGTCTCTTCAAGAAAACATGAAAGTTTCTTATTTTTGTACTGTTCTTTAAAAACCTTTTGGCTGACCATTCTGTGGACAGATCGATTACTTGCTTTATTTCTTAATGGAAGATTGATTGTCAACTTCTTTGGGCATTTGATTCCCAAAAGGTCTCACTCTGAAGTAGGAAAATGGCAAGAAATTTTATGCTTTCATTTAACATACTATTCATTGGGCAGGTTCTACATGCCAGGCACCATATTAGGCCCTCTTCCGGGCATCTGTGTATGTATAAGAAAGACATAATCTCTGCCCCCAAAGAGCTTACTGCCTAGTGAGAAAGACAGATCTGATGTAACAGAAAGGTAAGTATGAGTGCTGAGGAGGCAGAGAGGGATAAGAAAAGTTTCCCAGAGGAGGTGACATGTGGATAGGTTTGACTTAATTAACAACACAAATGGACTAAGCTGCACGTGCCTTTTCAGCTCAATGCATGTGCCAGTTACCATGTTTATTTCTTATAGAAAAGATTGTTTGCATTTAATGTGACCGGTTCCTCCAACATCACTAAGGCTTTTCAGCTCAATGCATGTACCAGTTACCATGTTTATCTCTTATAGAAAAGATTGTCTGCATTTAATGTGACTGGTTCCTCCAACATCACTAAGGCATCTGTCACATCACCCCATGCCACCCAGAGAAGGAGCCTGCCTAAAGGTACCCTGTGTTTAATGTCAAAACAGAAGTTTGTAATAGTAACCAATCTAAGGGAGACTTCAGTTGATGCTTATCAATCTTTGATGCTACATTAGGTTCAAACAAAAATGCTGTTTCCCCCGATTACAAAAGTAAAACACACTCGTATAGAGAGTAAAGATTAAAAAAGAAAACCTGAGACCAGGAGTTCAAAACCAGGCTGAGCAACATAATGAGACCCTGTCTCTACAAAAAATAAAAAAGGCCAGACTCAGTGGCTCACACTTGTACTCCTATCAATTTGGGAGACTGAGGCAGGCAGCTTGCTTGACCCTAAGAGTTCAAGACCAGCCTAGGCAACATAGTGAAACCTTGTCTCTACAAAAAAAAAAGCAAAACTTTATCCAGGTGTGGAGGTGCATGCCTGTAGTCCTAGCTACTGAGGTGGCAGGATTGCCTGAATTCAGGAGATCGGGGCTGCTGTGAGCCATAATCATCATGATCATGCCTCTGCTCCAGCCTGGACAACAGAGTGAGACCCTAAATTAAAAAATAAATAAATAAAAAATTTAAAAAAATTAGCCAGACGTGGTGACATGCACCTGTGGTCCCAGCTACTTGGGAGGCTAGGGTGGGAAGACAGCTTGAGTCCACGAGTTCTAGGCTGCAGTGAGCTTTGATCACACCACTGTACTCTAGCCTGGGTAACAAAGTGAGACCCTGTCTCTAAAAATAATTTTTTTTAAAAATATAATTTTTTACCTCATGTACTATTTTGGTACATATCTTTAAAAAAATTTTAGAAATATATAAACAACTTTTCAGCATAATTGAGATCATATTGTATATCAGTTATCAGTCCTGGACAGCTTTTTTCCCTTGATATATTTTGTGGATTTTCCCTTGACATTAAAATTTATTCATAAATATATGTAATAGCCACATAGTAGTCTGTTGTACATATGTTGCTTAACCATTCCCTTATGTTGACAATTCATATCATTTTCCAGTTTTTGCTCTTTTTACATAAATCTTTATCTGTACTTCTAATCCTTCTAAGATAGATTCTTAGAAGACAGTTTTCAAGTCAAGTGACCTGAGTGTTAACAGTCTTGAGACACATTGCTTTTTTTTTTGAGTTGGAGTCTCACTCTGTTGCCCAGATTGGAGTGCAGTGGCCGCTCCCGGCCACCGCAGCCTTGACCTGCTGGGCTCCGGTGATCCTTCCGCCTCAGCCTTCCAAGTAGCTGGAACTACAGGCGTGTGCTACCACACCCGGCTAGTTTTTTTGATTTATTGTAGAGATGAGGTCTTGCCAAGTTGCCCAGGCGGGTCTCGAACCTGCAGGCTCAGGCAATCCACTCACCTCAGCCTCCCAAAGGCGCGGGATTACAGGCTGAGCCACCGAGCCCAGCTGATACATTGATTTTATACATTAATTTTCACATCTGTCTATGATACAGCTCTTGGAATTTCCCTCAGGGGATAGGGATTTTGTGAATTATATTGAAGTGTTTTGGTTAATGTTATAATTGAGCACTTGGGGCAAGACCCAAAGTGTGGTTGCTGCTATATCACCTGGCCTGATAATCTATAGAGAAAGACCTTCTACTTTGTGTTTTTGTTCATTTTGTCTGGTCTAGAACCTCTGTATTACCTTCAGCAGCCCTGGTCCAGATTGAGCCTCTTAGTAAGAATTTGTACCTTACCTACTCCAAAAACCCTTAGGAGGGAGGGGCACAGATCAAGCAGTACTGGGGTGAGGGCTGATGTAGAAAAGGGTTTGGGGTTAAAAGTGGAGCGTAAAGACCGTTCACATAGGAGGTTTCTACTAGGCCTGTTATGTAAGTAGGTGTCTTTCCTCCTTAGTTTGTTTCGTCATTGAGAAATCTTTAGTCAAGTCTATGCAGAAGCCTAGAAAAATTCAGTTTAGGTCCAGGAAGGCGTTAAGTAATTTTCTTCTTTATCTTTTTTAAGAACTAGTAGAAGCCATCTCACAGCATCACATTGATGACCTCCCACCACCATCTCAGGAATTACTTGATGAAATTGGTAAGAACGTTCAATATGGAATATATTCCTTGGCCCTATTAGTTATGTCACTGACCACAGTATAATGTCTTTGTCTCAAGTATGATCAATAGCACAAAAGACCCTGGGAAGGTCTGGTTGGATGTATAAACTTTGGGGAGGGGCAGTTTTCCAATAAAATGGAAAATAAAATGGGCCATAGCCTGGTCGGGATAATTGGCCTATGCCTGTTGTCATTTACTTAAAGCGTTTATAGTGATGAGTCTAAGGAAGTAATAACAACATTCAAGTGGCTTATTATGATGCACTTCCTCTAGTAAAGGAATTCTTATCTTCTTTTCAAGCCAAACCAGCCATTCCTTGGAGGCCTGAGGTCTGGCTTCTCAGGCCAAGACACCTGTACTTTCAGTTTTGCCATTAGCAGGAGGTATTTAAGGTATTGGAATTGTGGATAAATCCCTTTCCTAACAGCAGGGAAGTCAGTGGCACAAAACCTAATGAGACCAAAACTTTCAGAGTGAGTTTGAGCAGTACCAACTGATTGACCAGCCCTTCCCAGCTGGGCTGATGCTGAAAATAAATGGTGATAGAGACATTTGTGGGCAAGTAGTCTGCTTCCCCAGCAAAGACTTGACTGCTCCCTTCTTGACAGTCTAGTCAGCCAACCCCTTGCCCTCAGAAGATACATCTCATTAGCCCTCTGATGGTCCAATTCCTGTTAAGGGACTTAGACAGAATTTCCTGAGGTGTACACCACTTAACTTGGTTTTCAGGGTCTCTGAGGTTTTGTGTCTCATAAAGAAGTAAATCAAGGACTTACTGATCTGACTCAATGGACAGCTACTTCTGAGCTCCTTATCATAACCTTTAGCCTCTATTTCTTGGCCTGATGAACGTTGGGTGGAGCCAGTCACAGCTGCCACAACCTGCCTTGATTTCTTTCTTTTTCCATGGTCATAGGCCCTTTCTTGACTCACTCAACCCTTCCCCTAGTGCCACAGGGTCATACAGGTCACAAGGTTGTTGGGTCAGGCTCTTCAAGCCTAGACTCCCACCCTGCCTTCCTAAGCAGTCTTGCAAATTTCTCCTCTCCAGTTGCTCTTCTTAAAATAATAGAACTGTTGAGAGTGGAGGTCACCCCTCACACATCCTGCTCAGGTAGACTCTCAGTGTCATTTGTTCCTTGGTCATGGCTTAAGGCAGTACTTATAGGCTTCTTTGCAGTTGGAACATAGCTGATACTTTTCCTCTGGATCCTGCAGTCCTCCCACTACAGTCACCATGTGTACCTCCCATTCACCTCCTCCATTTCAGTAGCTATGTTGCCAGGCTTCCTCCTGGGCTCTGGTCTCATGGCACTGCACCCCAGTGCAGTCTGCAGAAGCCTTCCCTCATTTCACTTATGGGAATTTTCTGGGTCAGGTTTCTAGGTGATGTCTGCACTTTGAGATGGGTGAGTAATTTTCCAGAAAGACAAAGGGCATAGGGCACTTGAGTAATTTTTCCTGAAAATAGGCCTGCCCACCTGATTATTGTATATCATCACTCTATTGTTGTTACCCCTAAAGATACCTTTAGGGAGTGACCTGGAACTGGCAGCTGTTCTTTTGGAGAGTTCCAGTCCAAAGCTCTAGGTTCCTGAGAGGGTCTTTTCGGATCCTAGAATATAGGCGACCATTTAAAATCAGCAAGGGACTGTTTTTAAAAAGATTTTTAATTTCAAATTATATTAAATGATCTCTAGAAGCCTGTTGATACCCAGAAGTTGCCAGGTTGAGACACAAAACCTGCAGTGCAGAGAGGGAGTGGACCTGTGCCTGCACAGAACAGGACCATGCCATCGAGCACAGGGTGGCTTGTCTGGGCTATCTCTCAGCTGTCTCTGCTCTGTGGGGCACTTGGAAGAGATAAGTGCCCAACAGATGCAAAGCAGCACACTGAGTTTGACAGATGCTTGCCTAGTAAGTATTTCTTTAGGAACTAGAAATGACAGATGTTCTTTGTCTTCTGTCTTTCTATAGATCAGGTAAAAAATATGAAATATAGGCCAATAGAGCTAGGGAAACATTTGGATTGTTCTGATGTTGTAACAAACTTTTTGAAAGTATAAAATAGAGATTAAGAACATCAACCTAGCCGGGCTCGGTGGCTCAGCCTGTAATCCCACGCCTTTGGGAGGCTGAGGTGAGTGGATTTCCTGAGCCCGCGGGTTCGAGACCCGCCTGGGCAGCGAGACCTCATCTCTACAATAAAAAAATTAAAAAAAAAAAATCAGCCGGGCGTGGTAGTGCATGCCTGTAATTCTCACTACTTGAATGGCTGAGGCGGAAGGATCGCCGAAGCCCAGCAGGTCGAGGCTGCGCTGGCCGGGAGCGGACACTGCACTCCAGTCTGGGCAACAGAGTGAGACTCAACTCAAAAAAAAAAACAAGAACATCAACCTTAGAGTGAGACTGCCTGGATTCAAATCCCAATTCTACCTCTTACTATCTGTGTGATTTTAGGCAAGTTCCTTAACTTTAATTTCCTCATTTGCTACATAGAAATAGCAATAATGCAACCAATTTCAAGAGGTTGTTATGAGATTGTGAATACTAATCCTGTCTTAATGAGCACAAGTGCCTGGAACAGTACCTGCCACATAGGGGTCTGCAAGTGTTGTGTATTATTATCATTTTGATTTTGATTTTGAGTGTTGTATGGGATTTTGTCATATTTAAAGAATTCCTTTCAAACCTGGACTTCTCTAAAGCAATGGTTTCCAAACTTTATCAGGCATCAGAATGACCTGAAGGGCTTGTTAAAACACAGATTGCTGGGCCCCCAGAGTTTCAGAGTTTCTGAGTTTCTGATTCAGTAGGTCTAGAATGAAGCCTGAGAATTTGCATTCCAAGATCCCAGGTTATGCTAATGCTGCTGGTCTGAGGACCACTCTTTGAGAACCACTGCTGTAGAGAATGGTGGATATGCAAAGGAGAAAGTAAATTTCCCTTGGCTTTTGTGTTTTGACAGAGCTCTTGAAGCACCAGCAGACCTCCTCCACAGTATTACATGAGAGCACATGTGAACTGGGCATCACTGCAAATGGTAAGCTCAGTGGCACTTATGGGGAAGTATGACCTTGAGGGTAGGCACAATTCCACCTCAATTCTAACTCTACCAGTTACTTTGTATGGCATGCTGTTTACTGCCTTTGAACCTCGGCCATCCTCATCTGTAAAATGGGGATAATAACGTCTATCTAAAGTTGTATATAATAGCTCCATGTATAGTGCCTGGAGCATTGTAAAATACTTAGCAAATTTTAGTCACCTTCTAGAACTGCTAGCAGGATGAAATGAGATAGCATATGTAAAATGCTTAGCATACATTAAAGGGTACATTTCTTCCCCACCCAAATTCCTTTCCTGAGGCTCCAACCTAGAAACATCTAACAAGTAAGAACATGATGGTCCTCCAAAGTAAATTTTTGCAATTTGTTTTCAGGGTCCCTTGCTTCTTCTATTATATGCCGTTTCTTTCCTCTGCTTCTTCTGTCTCTCTTGAACCCTGGCACAGGCAAGGTTTCCTGTAGTTTCACCTGGCACTGAAAAGCTCCCAAGACCCCAGAAGCAGCTGCTGTGAATACAGGCGCCCTGCAGACTGCCACCTGGCCCCCTGCTCTCATGGGAAGAGAGAAGCTAATACATTGCAAACTTCAGGGACCACTGATTGACCTTGATTTTTACACTCCATTTTAAGACAGGCTCTCTCAATTTTTTTTTTCTAATAAAGTTAATTCTTTCAACTTTTTTTTAGATCAAAGGCACTTAGAAAAACAAGAAACTGACAGTAAAAAAGAAGATGATAGTATGCTTTGGACCAAAGAAGCTCAGGATCTAGGAGAAGACACAGAGAGGTAACAGAAAAAACTGGACTTTTGAAAGGATTTAAAAAATTGTATTTGTGGCTTTTTTTCTAATGTTGACAAATAAGAAGGGGAAAAAATGGCCTTTTTCCCATAGTCTCCTAAAAGCCCCTACTCCTAAAAGTTTTCTTTTTTTTTTTTTTTTTTTGCTTTAAGAAATTTTTAGACTGGGCTCGGTGGCTCAGCCTGTAATCCCAGTGCTTTGGGAGGCACTACAACAAATAAAAAATTAGCCGGGTGTGGTAGCACGCGCCTGTAGTTCCGGCTACTTGGAAGGCTGAGGCAGAAGGATCGCTGGAGCCCAGCAGGTCGAGGCTGAGTGGCCGGGAGTGTGCCACTGCGCTCCGATTGGGGCAACGGAGTGAGACTCCAACTCAAAAAAAAAAAAAAAAATTTTTTAATTGTGATAAAATATATACAACACAAAATTTACCATTTTAAGTATACAGTTCAATAGTGTTAATAAGTATTTACATTGTTGTACAACTGATGTCCAGAACTTTTTCATCTTGCAAAACTGAAATTCGGTACCCATTAAAAGAGTTCCCATTTCCCCTTCTTCCCTGCCCCTGGCAACCACCATTCTGCTTTCTGTTTTTATGAGTTTGACTACTCTAGATACTTCATATAAGTGAAATCATACAGTATTTGTCTTTTTTGTGACTGGCTTATTTAACTTGGTATAACATCCTCAAAGTTCATTCATGCTGTAGCAGGTGTCAGAATTTCTTTCTTTTTAAAGGCTGAATAATATTCTATGATATGTGCATACCACATTTTGTTTATTTAGTCATCTGTCAATGGACATTTAGGTTGCTTCCACCTTTTGGCTATCACAAATAACGCTGCTGTGAAAATGAGTTACCAAATATCTCTTTGAGAGCCTGATTTCAATTCTTTTGCATATATACCCAGAAATAGTATAACTGGATCATATGGTTATAATATTTTAAATTTTTTTTTAGGAATCTCCACCCTATTTTCCATAGTAGCTGCCCTATTTTACATTTCCACCAACAGTGCACAAGGATTCCAGTTTCTCCACATCCTCACCAACACTTGTAACCACCCCCGCCCCCGTTTTTATTGTGGTCCATACTAATGGGTATGAAGTGATACCTCACTGTACTTTTGATTTGCCCTTCCTTAACAATTAGTGGTGTTGAACATCTTTTCACGTGCTTGTTGGACATTTGTATATCATAGATATATATGTTATATGCATTTTTAATAGGGTTTTTTTTGTTTTCTTTTGAGTTGTTTTTTGTTTTTGTCTGTTTTTATTTCATTTTGTTAGGCAACACACAGGTTTTAGCTTCTTATAAAACATTTTAGTTAATGGTCTTAGAAGATAATTTTTAGATCTTTCTAGTCAATAAGAGAAAATGGAGGCAACCATCCAAACAATTCAGTCTAAAAGCACAAAGTTGCCTTAAGAAATCTGATTCTTTTCCTGATTTGGAGGTCTCCTTTTACCAATGTTGTAAGGTAAACTGCTTCAGCTCACCCCTTTTGCCTCTTGGCTTCTTTTGCCTTGTCTTGAACTGTCATCTTCCAGGACTAGGGTGAAGTGAATGAGACACACTCCTTGGGCACAAAATTGAAGGGAGCACCAAAAAACTCAGTAGTCAAGATAAGATGTATTTTAATGCAATATTTTAAAAAATCAAATTTAATGCAAAAAAATCCACAACCAACATAATGTCTAAATTTTAATGAAAGACAGAATCTGAGTTTGCACTTGTGTTACTTGCCTCATGCTAATCCTGGCCTTGCAGATCCTTGGGGAAGCCATGCAGAATACTTTCAGTTGCAATGAGTTTGTCTCCCTTATCAAGAGGTCCATGGGTGGCAGGACATGGCTGATGCAGCAGCTCAATGATGCCACCAGGGACTTAGACTCTTTTAATCTTACTGCTTTACTGCCCATAGCGTATTGGCCTTTGTTTTCAGGCTTATCATCTCCTGGTTGCAAGATGGCTACTGTCCACACACCAGCAGAGATAACAGGGTGGGACTAAGGAATATTTTAGCCTACTCTGTCCCATTTTATCAGGAAAGCAAAAACTTTTCTAAAAGCCCTTCCTTGCAAACACCTACTTAAATTTCACTGGCCAAACTGTGACACATGCCCACCTTGGGTGCAAGGGAGACGAAACAGAGGAAGAAGAAGGCAAAGGAGAAGAGTGTTATGAATAACTTGCAGGTAATTAATCCAGTATCTATCACACTCTTCCAAGGCTAAATTATTCTCTATAAGGAAGGAAAAGAGAGAGGCCTGAAGGGAGGGTCTGGGAAGTAGAGGAGGAGACTGGAGCCATGAGGCCTCTGAGAGGAAGTGGGGAGAGGACTTTTGGGGAAACAGAAAACAAAGAGGCAAAAAGGAAGAAGACATATTTTTTTAAGAGGAGTTTTAGAAACCTTTTGACTATGATGTGTGATATAACTTCATTCTTTCTATCTTCTCCATATACCTTCCATAAAAACCTATGCTATTATTTCAAGGCAAAAGAAGAATTGTCCAAGGTTAAGTTACATTGGTTATATAACTATTAAGCTCTTTGTACATGACCAAAAGTTAGCTACTATTATTGTTGTCTCTTTCTTTTCCAGAAAGGCTGACTATGCTGGTCACACAGATGCTTCACAGACACTCAGTCAGTCATCTTAGTGCTATGAATGGTCAGCCTAGGCTTCAAGCCAGATGGAAGATAGGCTTTTTGGGTTTTTTCGTTTTTGTTTTTACTACAACTTACATACTTTATTTTAGAGCTTACTGTACATAAAAGGTTTCATGTAGTTGATCTCAACTTTGTTCACACTGACTTCAGGGAGTTTTTGGTTTTCTGTGCTTAAGACTACTCAATTGCTGCTGTTGGTGTTGGTTTGTTTTCTTTCAGGATCAAGGTGGGTACTTTTGTATAATGTCTTATTTTTAATTCCTTCTCTGGCAAGTCTTTCCTGAATTCTTTGTTTTGCATAACTGTACCTACAATGGAACCAGCATCCCAAAGTCACCAAGATAAATCCTCCTACTCCAATATCACATGATCTTCTAATTCTACTAGTAAACAAAAAATGTCCAAGGCCAGCCACAACAGAACCTAATGAGCCACATAATATTGAATCCCGTGTGCAGGGAATGTTTTCAACATCTAAAATTCCTAGGAGCTTAAAGGGCTTCCCTTTCCCGGGCTGGCTGGGTTCCGGCACGGCAGCCATGGGAACAAGTCGACGCCGGAAGATAGTTTTTTAGATGGGTGGGATTTTTCAGGGCTTCTTAAGACCCTTGAATCTGCATCTTCTAGTCTTAGAGGTAGTTCTAGAAAAACATGTAGGAAAGCATACATAGTTCTAGCCTCAGGTAGCAACTTACTTGATGACCTAGAATTGAGTTAGAGTCTAGCATTAGACTTTGGGAGGGAGTGATCTCATGGGAGCTGAGGCTTTTTGTCAAGGGGTTAAAGGACTATTTGGTACACATTTTAATAAGATCTAGGTGACCTCTGTGACTCTAGACACAATCTTCCTGAGCTCTCATTTTCTCATATGTATAGTGAAAGTACATATTTTAAGATCCCTTCCCACTTTTTTTTTAAGTGATGAGGTCTTCCTCTGTCATCCAGGATGGGAGTACAATGGTGTGATTATAGCTCACTGCAGCCTCCACCGTCTGGGTTTCAGTGTTCTTCCTGCCTCAGCCTCCAAGTAGCTGGGACTACAGGCATATGTCATCATGCCCAGTTATTTATTTTTATTTTTGTATAGATAGGATCTCAAACTCCTGGCCCCAAGTGATCCTCCTGCCTCAGCCTCCCACGGCCCCAGAATTACAGGTGTAAGCCAGTGTGCTTAGTAGTTCCTTCCCACACTAGAGTGATGTGTGTTCTTGTTAAGGGAAAGGGGAAATGACTGTTGTCTTCATTCTCTTCACTTGTCCTTGGACAGAGCTCACTCTACTCTGGATGAAGACCTGGAAAGATGGCTACAGCCACCTGAGGAAAGCATGGAACAACAGGATCTCCTCAAGAGTTCTGCAAGGTGATTGTTCCCATTAGAGGATTGTTTTCTTTTTTCTTCAGAAATAGGCTAGGTTTTAGATTTCTTGGAGAATGAATGTCTAGTGATGACATTACATTGCTGTAGATAAGTCAGCCCTGACTCTGTCTGCACTCTCATGCCTACCTGTCTTCTTCCAACCACCCAAAGTACTCAAGACATTGATTAGCAGATTGATATCAGTACAGAGAGGGCCTCTAAGTTTGCCGTATTTTGGCTTTGCCACCTGCAACATTTTCATCAGTCATTTGAATTCAATAAGAAAAGGCATGCTTATCAAATTTTTGATAACACAAATCTAGGAATGAATGCAATGTGATGAATGATAGACTGAGGATTCAAAATGGTCTTGACAGGTAGAAATGTGAGATTCTCTAAAAGATAAAGGTAAACAATCTAAACATTTCAGATGCAAAAATATAGAATGTGGAGACCCAACCTAATTGGAGAATTTTTTATCAGAAGCTTTCACTCACTAATTTCATTGAGGGCAAGAAGTATGTCTTATTTTAATAAGCCCAGCACTTAGCATGCATCTTGAGACATGGTAAGGATTCAAGAAATTCTTCCTGAGGAAGGCATGTACAACAATGCTGCAAGGGCTGTGTGGTGAAGTTACTGAAAAGATCAGTGAAGCATTAATGCTGGAAAAATAGAAACTTGCTGTCCAGATCAAGATGATGTGTTATTTAGAGGACTTCTAGGACACAATATGTGACTCTTTTCTGGGTGTCACATTTTAAATGGGATATTAGCAAACACAAGAGGTGGCCACAGAATAGTCAGAGGTCTGGAAAACACATCATATGAGAACAGCTGAAGGAGCTGGGGAAGTGCAGTCTGAGGAGAGCAGATGGGGTGGAGAATTTGATAGCTGCCCTCAAATACCTGAAATGTTGTAAAGTGAAGAGAGTCAGCTTACTTCTTTTGGCCCAAAGGACAGAACTAGTGACTAGAAATTGCAGAGTAATTGATTTTTATTCAGTAAAGTACAAACTTTCTAATAGCCACAGCTATCCAATAGGGAAAACAGCTGCCTTAATACTTACTTTAGCAATGGCTACTGCTGCTCAAACCGAGGCTGGATGACTCTCTAGTCTTGGGCATTTGGATGGTGGTAGGAGACAACTTAGAGGCCTCCTTGTGCTCTTGAGCCTGTGATTCTGTTAGTGGTAAAGTGGTAGGAGGGGAAAAAAATTCCCTTGCATTCTAGCTGGCTTTACTTTTTAAATATTTTAAATATTTTGTTTTGGCTATCCACCAAATGAAAACAGAAAAATCCCTAAACAGTGTTATTTTGGTTCAGCAGCAACTGTTGAACCCTGACAATGAGCCTAGCACTGTGCTAGGGGCTGGAGGTGCAGCAAAGGGGGATAAGGTGACTCTGCCCTTAAGGAGCTTTTAGTTGAGTGGGGGAGATTTCTATTTAGTACTTTGACAAACATGGTCTTAAATTGTGAGATACTTAAGTTACTTAGATATTTCATTTCAGAGAGTTTCAGGTAGTGAGGATAAGGTGATAAAGTAAGTGGTGGTTTTGAAAAGGACACTAATTACAACATAAGTAAAATGCTATTTTTTTCCTTTGAGGCAATATAGTGTAGTGGTTGAAAGAAGAGTCTGAGGCAGACTGCCTGTGTCTGATCCCAGCTCTAGGACCTACTTGAGTAATTCAACTTCTCTATGCTTCAGTTCAGATAGTTATTAATGAAAATTAAGTTAATTTCATTGTTGCACTTAAACCAATGCCTGACCCACAGAGAGAATATTGTTAGTGCTAGCTATGATATGTTTCCTTTGGAGTGCTATCCTATTCCCCTGACTATGCATATGATTTGATGCCCCAAATCATCGTTCTTAAAGGAAAACAAAGACTGGGGATCAAGAAGTTGGTGAAAGGAAGAGAAAAGGTGAAGAAAGCATCAAGCCAGAGAGAAGGAAAGCGGAGAGCTTTTTAGGGACTTCTGAAGACGGTATGAATTAATGAGTGTTTATTATGTAGTCTGTGTAGTCCTTGGGCTTTGATGAGCATCAAAGTTATTTAGAAATGTTTCCCAGATGCCGTACATAATCCTCCTACCTTTGATCATTTCTTTTTCCCTGCAGTTCAGCCCAGGTTTTCTGTTAATTGCCAATCATAGCTTCATCACAAAACAGTAATAACATCCAATCCTATTTCTAAAACAAGCCTTTTCTTGGTCTCATCATCATTATCTTGCACATTGTCTGAAGGGATGCTTTCTGCTTTTAATTGTCTGATGTCTTCAAAAGAATTTTAAATTTAGCTCACATAGATGCTGCTGCAGAATCCAGTAAGAAATCATACTTTATGAAATTTAAATGGAGTCTACAAGTAATGTAAAAGTTATAAATTAACCTTAATTTCAAAACCATTTTGATAGAACTGTAAGGCTTCTGATATGCCATTTACAAATTATGTTCTCCTATATTTAAGTTCCTCCTACTCAGGAAGTAAGAGATAGTAACTCTTTCAGATCATCCGGTATCCCTTTCATACCTGACTTCCTTCCCATTCTCCTCCTTTCTCTTTCCTGCTTTGTGCCCCATGATGCTGACCCTAGAGGACTGCATCTCCTGGGCTTCCTGTTGGCCAGTGAGAGGTCCAGCAGAAGATCAGGGGGATGGAGAGAGGTTGGAGAATTACTTTACCTCCCTGCCTAATTCAGCACTTTGTGCTGGTTGAAGTGGTATCCCTCCACAAGTGCAGCTTCTATAAGGCAGCTCATGCTTCTCAATTCCAGGTCTCACTAGTTTCAGTAACTGGGTCCTCTTCCCCAACCTCAGTCCCTTCAGACTTAGGCTTCCCACTGCCACTAGTCACAAGATGCTTTGCCATTCTTTGTTCCTTTAACTCTAACAACCTCTATATGTAGTCGCTTTGTTAAAAAAGTCTTTATTTGAACCAACTGGGTACATTCTGTTTCCTCCAGAACTCTCACTGGCACAAGACTCAGAGTATATGGGCCTTTAGCTAGTATTAAGTTCACTGAGAAGATAATGCAGGGACTTTGTGAATTAGTGTCATTAGTGTACCTATGCCGTGCAGGGGACTGGAGGAATGTTAAAAGAGGAAGCCCATTAACTGTGTATTTAGAGAGATTCTGTCTCTGTGGAATAGAACAGCTGTTGTAGATAAAAACAGTTTACCCTAAACTAGAGAGAGCACTAATGTGAATTCTGAATACTGGCAGCTTTGACCTAGAAAGTAATCAGGTTTTTTGTTTTTGTTTTTGTTTTTGTTTTCCTCTTACATTTCATCAAGATGAACTAAAACCCTGTTTTTGGAAGCGACTAGGTTGGTCAGAACCATCCAGGTAATGAGATATCAGATGTTTGTAGATCAAAGTTCACTGTTTATAGACAACATGAGCAGATTTTAAAATTTACTAGTATCTAAATAAATATTAATGACAAAGACTTGAGTTCAAAGTTGATGAATTTTTAAAATGTTAATGTTTAGAGTTAATTCAAATAATAAGGTGAAATTAATGCCGCCTTTGATTAAGTAAGTAGTACAGTCAGCACAAGAACAGTTTTAATATAAAGGGAACATAGAAGATGCTGTTATCAGTTGCTTTGTGGTCATTTTGTGTTTCCATGATACACTGTTGATTATAATCCCCCTTGAATTTAATTGAATAGAAAGAGGATGTTATTTGTGTCTTTAAAAAATATCCACACCAACTCAAAACTCTTTTTTCTGTTTCTTAAAAAACACGTGCACAGGATAATCGTGCTGGATCAGAGTGACTTGTCAGACTGACTGGAATTGGATCGGAGAGGGACTCGTGGCCTGAGTTTGAATTCCCTGGTTGTGAGCTCCTTTCTTCTCTGCTTCAGTTGCCATCAAGGCAGTGGTTCCAGTTCTGTAACTCTGTTGAGCTGCAACATAGACTAATGACTTGGCCCTGTTTGTTGGCAGCATAGTCAGTCAGATTGCTGAAAAGTGAGAGGTAGTTTTGATTGTAAAACTTTTTTGTTGTGCCGGAATGGCCTTTGGTTTAGTTGATATAAATTTTTGAAAATATTAACTCTTGTTATATAATAAAATGTTTACTTACTAGCTATGTAAGATACTTTTCTGTGTTGGAGTTATTGGAAGTTGGGGGGAGAACTACCACTGAGAGAGGCTTCAATTTCTGTTACAAAGTTTGACAAATAGGCAGCTACTGCTATCACTCATTATACAAACTGGTACCAGTTGTTCATGTTTTATAATAGAAATATTGCCCCTCCACTTAACTGGTATTGCCATATTCCCATTGGTTTACATGATGAAAGTACGGATAGCAATAAAATCCTGAGATATTTTGAACTTTTTAAGGTGAGAATTGTCTCCATATATTTTGTATTGTACAACTAAGATCACAGAATTTTCTCTAATTTAGCCTCTTGTGAATACGGCCCAGATGCATACATATAGCTTTATCCTGGTTTTTAGAGAATTTATATACCTTCATGTACCTCCAGTTTGGCATCTTCACATATGAATAAAAATCCTTTGTTGAGAGCTATATGCTGCTGTGCAGTAAAAGCCAACTAACATCTTATTCTGTCTTGGTGGGTAAGTAACAGGTCTTTTGTGAATTTTTCTTTTTTTTTTTGAGTTGGAGTCTCACTCTGATGTCCCGACTGGAGTGCAGTGGCACGCTCCCGGCCACTGCAGTCTCAACCTGCTGGGCTCCGGCGATCCTTCCGCCTCAGCCTTCCAGTAGCCGGAACTACAGGCGCGCACTACCACGCCTGGCTAATTTTTATTTGTTGTAGAGATGAGGTCTGGCCAAGTTGCCCCAGGGTGGGTCTCAAACCCACGGGCTCAGGCAGTCCACTCACCTCAGCCTCCCAAAGTGCTGGGATTGCAGGCTGAGCTACCAAGCCTGGCCCTTTTGTGAATATTGAGTAGTTCCTGTTGTGGGTGGTTATATTCATACTTCTTTGCTCCCAGAAATTTTGGCTTGCACAGATAAAATGGAAAGGTACAAATGACCATTTTAAAGTAGGGAAACAGTTGCTTATCATTGTAAATGGAGGAAAACCACCAGAAAACAAATTAGTTTACAAAATAATACTATGTGAGGAAACTTTGAGGGATACCCAGACTTAAAATACACAGTCTTCCTTTCTTTTCTGCTGTGTGTGGCGGCTCATGCCTATAATCCCAGCAGTTTGGGAGGCTTAGGCAAGAGGATTGCCTGAGCCCGGGGGTTTGAGACCAGCCTAGCCAACATGGTGAGACCTCACCTATAAAATAAATTTTTAAAAATTAGGTGATGTGGTGGTGTGTGCCTGTAGTCCTAGCTGCTTGGAAGACTGAGGTGGAAGGATCATCTCACCTCCCGCTCATTCCTCAGCCCACTCAAATCTGAATTCTACTCCTTCTATTTCTTGTAGTTACTAAGGTTGCCAGTGACTCATAATCCTAAATTTCCTGGACACTTTGACCTCCTTGTCTTTTGTTCTCTTAGCCTATTCCCTTGGCTTCCTTGATGTTACACTCTGGTTTTCCTCTATCTCTCAGGCTATTTCACCCCAGCCTCCTTTAGGAATTCCACCTCTCTCTTTTTTCACTCCAACTTTTCCTCCTAAGCGTCTTTGTTTACTGCCATGGCTTCAGATAGCTTGTATATACTGACAACTCCCAGATTTGTATTGCAAGTCTGATCTAGACCTTTTTTTTTTTTTTTTTT